TTTGGTTGGAAAAGACCTTTAAGATCATCAAGTCCAACCATAACTTAACTCTACCAAATGTGGAGCTAAATCATGTCCCCTAGTACCAAGTCAATGCTTTTTTTGAACAACTTTCAGGGATGGTGATTCAACCACCTTCCTGGGAAGCCTATTCCAGTATTTAATCACCCTCTCAGTGAAATAGTTTCTGCTAATGTCCAACCTAGACCTCTCTGATGCATCTTTAGGCAATTTCCACTTGTCCTATCACCTCTCACTAGAGAGAAGAGACCCACACCCACCTCACTACAGCCTGCTTTCAGGTAGTTGTAGAGGATGATAAGGTCTCCCCTCAGCCTCCTTTTCTCTAGGTTAAACAACCCCAGTTGCCTCAGACACTCCTTGTAAGTCTTATGCTCCAGACCCTTCACCAACTTAATTGACCTTCTCTGCACCTGCTCCAGCACTTCAATGTCTTTCTTGTAGTGGTGGGCCCAAAACTGAAACAATAGTTAAGGTGTGGCCTCACCAGTGCTGAGTACAGGGGAAGGATCACTTCCCTATTCCCGCTGGTTGCACTGTTCCTGATGCAAGCAAGGATGCTGTTGGCCTTCTTGGCCACCTGGGCACACTGCTGGCTCATATTCAGCTGACTGTCGACCAACACCCCTTGGCCAAGCAGCTTTTCAGGCACTCATCCCCAAACCTGTAACATTCCATGGGGTTGTTGTGAACAAAGTGTAGGACCAGCACTTGGCCTTGTTGAGCCTCATACAGCTGACCTCGGCTAATATCTCTAGCCTGTCCAGGGTCCTCTGCAGAGGCTGTCTACCCTCAGGCAGATCAACATGCCCAAATTTAGTGTCATCTGCAAACTTACTGAGGGTGTGCTCGATTCCCTCATCCAGGTCACTGATAAATATATTAAAGATAATTGATCCTAGCACTGAGCCCTGGGGAACACCGTCTGTGACTGGCCACCAACGGGATTTAACCACCATGCATTGGGCGTGACCATCCAGCCAGTTTTTTACCCAGCGAAGTGTCCACCCATCCAAGCTATGAGCAGCCAGTTTCTACATGAAAATGCTGTGGGAAACAGTGTCCAAGGCTTTACTAAAGTCCAAGTAAATAATATACACAGCTTTTCCCTCATCCCCTGAGTGGATCACCTTGTCATAGAAGGAGGTTCATCAAGTAGGACCTGCCTTTCATAAACCCATGCTGACTGGGCCTGATCCCTGATTGTCCTGTACATGCTGCATGATGGCACTCAAAATTATCTGCTCCATGACTTTGCCTGGCATTGATGCAGTTCCCCAGACCTTCCTTCCAGTTCTTCTTGAAGATGGGCTTAACATTTGCCAGTTTCCATTCAATTGGTATCTCTCTGGTCAGCCATGACTGCTGGTAAATGATGGAAAGTGGCTTAGTGAGCACTAGCACCAACTTTCTCATTAGCCTTGGGTGTCTCCTGCCAGGCACCATAGACTGGTGGATGTCTAAACAGTAGAGCAGGTCACTAACCATCTCCTCTTGTATTGTGGGTTCTTCATTTTGATACTCATCCATGCCTTCCAGCTCAAAGGGTTATGTACCCAGCAAACAGCTGGTCCTACTGCTGAAGGCTGAGGCAAAGAAAGCATTAAATATCTCAGCCTTTTCCTCATCCTTGGTCACTGTGTTTCCCTCTGCATCCAATAAAGGGTGGAAATTCTCCTTAGACCTCCTTTTATTGCTGATATATTTATAGAAACATTTATTGTGTTTACCAGCAGAGACCAGATTAATTTCTAATTCGGCTTTGGCTCTTCTAATTTTTTCCCTGCAGAGCCTCATCACAACTTTCTAGTCTTCCTGAGTTCCCTGCCCCTTCTTCCAAAGACTATAAAGTAGCTTTTTTTTTCTCCGAGCAGCTACCAAATTTCTCTATTCAGCCAGGCTGAACTTCTTCCCCGCCAACTCATCTTTCGACACAAGGGGACAGCCTATTCCTGCACCTGTAAGACCACCTTCTTGAGGACTGTCCAGCCTTCCTGGACTCCAGTGTCCTTCAGGACTTCGTCCCAGGGGACTCCATCAACTAGTCTCCTGAACAGGCCAAAGTCTGCCTGCTGGAAGTCCAAGGTGGCAGTTCTGCTGACCACTCTCTTTACTCCTCCAACAATTGAGAACTTTATCATTTCATGACTGCTTTGCCCAATGCGGCTTTTAACTGTCACATCACCCACAAATCCTTCCCTGTTGACAAACAGAAGGTCAAGAAGCAGATCACCTTACCTTGTTGGCTTCCTCACCAGCTGTGTTAGAAGGTTATCTTCCACACACTTTAGGAACTTCCAGGACTTCTCCCTCTCTGCTGTGGTATATTTCCAGCAGACATCTGAGATGTTGCAGTCCCCTATAAGAACTAGGACAGGTAAGCGGAAGACTTCTTCCAGCTGCTTATAAAATATTTCATCTACTTCTTTATCCTGGTTGGGCGATCTATAACAGTCTCTCACCACAATATCAACCTTGTCGGCCTTCCCCCTGATTCTGAGCCTGAAGGATTTCTTCAGCCTTTTTTGATAATTTTTGAGCTTTCTGTGAGACTGAAGAGCCAGAATGAGATAAGTTGTTTCTGAAGGCATAAGTCCTCATAATTTCAGAATTACATTTCAGAAATATTTAGGAGTCTCATTTTTCATGTTTGAAAACCAGACATTTGTAGGAAATGCAGGCAGTATAGCAAGCAGAGTTGTGGGAGGATTCTGTGGACCTTTTAGAATGGTAGATTATAATCCATCATCCACTGCAGATTTTGAAATAATTTCTCTCTTAAACATTATAATTTAAATCTTTCCAGTAGAGGCTTGGCTGTTCAAGCATTCATGACAATGTGAAAGTTAAGTTTGTCTGGTTCATTTAAACAGAACATTTTGACATGCACAAATTATTGTAAAATCTGATCTATGGATCGAGGTCACTGTACAGATACATAGTGTAAGATTTAGTGATGAGCTCTGTATCTGGAGTTATATAAAAAAGAATGCCCTGCAAAATCATTCTATGCCCTTGTTTAAATCGATGCATTAGTTATTTTGTTTGAGGGATGTGATTTAAAAAAAACCAAACAACTAACACAAAACACACAAAGATACATAAAAGCCAATCTAATTACTTCCCTTGTATGACTGAGTACACAGTAGATGTACTATACAGTTGATGTACTGTTGAATAGTAACTTGTCTAAGACCTGTAATAAGGTCTTTGTAATAGCTTGTATTAGGTCCAATTTCTGTGCACTGTTACTATTATTTAAGAAGACTTATTGTTAGAGTTATACAGTTGTAATTTATGGACTTACTTAGGAAATATTATGCAGCAAGGATGCCATATGTATGCTGAAATTTGTCATGGTGAGTAACTATTTTTTTTCAAAAATGTACACCATATCTCTTTCATTTTTTTTAAGTGTTGCATATATATTTTTAAAGACTAATATATATTTGAATGTGGCACAGAAATGCCCAGTCTCATCAGCTTATTTTAGAATATATTTCCCATTTGCTTTCATATATTAATGATGATGGAAACAGGAAATATGCAGCTGTGTATTTCTAGTAGGTGTACAAATTTGTCTTTCCGTTATCCAATTGCTTATAAAGTGAATAACAATGATTAAAAATATAGTTACTAGCTGCGGACTGTTTAACCAATCCACCAGAGAGGGTGCATTTGTCAGCCTACTTGTGATACTTGCAATACAATGTCCTTTTGACTTTGAAATTATCTTGGAACTCATAATCCCATTGAAACAGGACAACATTTGCAGACAAACTACCTTGGGAAGAAAGAATAGGAAATTAATTTGACCATGAAACGTTGTAAAAACATCAACCAGATGAAGAGAAAAAGGGAAATTTTCTCTGACATGGAGAAATGTATACTTCAACTGTACAACTTGATGTTATCTTCTGTCAGGGAAGTGATCTTTAACATAGAAGATTAGGCATCAGTTCAGCCAAACCCATCTGTTATGACATTTGGTTTCCTTAAGGTCCATATTCTCTGCAAGCTCATAGAACTGGCTGAAGTTACCAAGAATGAACTATATTATGAGTAACACACAAATATTGTTCTAATCACTGGACCATTTGAAGAAAGCTAATTTTAAAACTTTATTAACATACTTATTGCTGGCAACTAATACTTTTAAGTTAATTAATAAAATTAGGCTTGTGAACAATAACAATTACTAACAGATGGGCAGTTATTTACAAAAATACTATGTTGTGAGCTTTTTGGGACATTATAGAAGTGTTGCTTTTTCTGTAATATATTTAGTTTTGTACTACTTTGTATATATCTGATGCAATATCCTCATCATTAATTTGCAATTACAAAAATTGCATAAGAAATAAAAAGTATCTTTCAAGTTATGTGAATGAGTCATTTAAAAAAACACTGTTTTTCTGAATTTAGTTCAAGACAGCCCACACGAGCATGAATGCAAACTATATCAACATCTGTAAAAGATCTTGAGTCTGATGAATTTGTTGGTCTTTAAAACTTTTGTCTCTACAGAGACTACTGATCCTTGCTTTCTAAAAGTTCCTTTAACTACATGAGACATAAAAAGAGAAACTTCAGTGAAGATTTAGCGTATTACCTTACAATAGGATTTATCTTTATTAACATGTTTAACAGTGTGCATATGGGTGATCTCTCAGCTGTGTAAAACTAAGCGAATGAGAAAATAGGTGTCTTGCTAAATAAAAGCTCTGAAATGTTGCAGACCTTATAGATTATTTGCTTGCAAGTGGATAAACTAGCATAAGGTCTAATACCCATTTTGATTTCATGTATGTTGTGAATGTGAAGAAGAGAAAATTATTCTGTAAAAGCATCATATTGGCATTTTCATCAAAGAACTCCCATTACCACAATTTGAACTGCAGCTTAGAGTTTAAATCTGACATACTGAGCCAGACTCAGTCTTAAGAAAATGAAACAGCACTTTTTCTCTGGGTCTACAGATGAAAACTTCATGAACAGCACAGAGGTGGCAGCTGAGACGTCAACTTGCGTTCAGGGACAGGGTGAGGGTTACCGCGGCACGGTCAACACAATATGGAGTGGAATCCAATGCCAGCGGTGGGACTCCCAGTTTCCTCACAAACACAACATTACTCCAGAGAACTTCAAGTGCAAGTGAGTAGAGACATGTGGGTATTACTGCAGTGGGAAAAGAGCTTAGTTTTCAAATGTTTAGAAATTTTTGCCACCAAAGTAGACCATAGGATCCCTATTTCTGCTCTGTGACCTGTTGCATTTACTGTACTTTCTGATCCTGAAAACCATGTGAATATGGGAAAATCAGTTCTTTGGATCTCAAAATAGTTCTAGATGAACTTGATTCAGCAATTCACCAATTTAATTTTGAAGTATATGGATGTTTTCCAGACTGGGATCTGAATGCCAATAGAGCTGGTACATTACAATGTCCTGCCCCTGGGTCAGTGCATCCCCCAGTATCAATACTGGCTGAGGGATGAAGGGATTGAAAGCAGGTCTGTGGAAAAGGACTTGGGGATACTGGTGGATAGAAAGCTGCGCATAAGCTGGCAGTGTGCACTCATAACCCATAAGGCCAACTGGGCTGCATGAAGAGAAGCGTCGTCAGCCAGATTGAGGGAGGCGATTCTGCCCCTCTACTCTGCTATGGTGAGAATCTACCTGGAGCACTGCACCCAGCTCTGCAGTCCGTAGCATAGAAAAAGCATGGACCTGTTGGAGTGGGTCCAGAGGAGGGCCACAGAAATGATCAAAGGGATGGAACACCTCTCCTATGAAGAAAGGCTGGAAGAGCTGGAGTTGTTTGGCCTGGAGAAAAAAAGGCTCCAGGAAGACATTATTGTGGTCTTTCAATACTTAATGGGGGGTTATAAGAAAGATGGCACAAATTTTTTAGTTGTGCCTGTAGTGATAGGACAAGGGGTAATGGTTTTAAACTAAGAGAAGATAGGTTCAGGCTAGACATAAGAAGACGTTTTATATGATGAAGGTGGTAAAACACTGAAACAGGTTGTCCAGAGAGGTGGCAGATGTCCCATCCTTGGAAACATTCAAGGTTGGATGAGGCTCTGAGCAACCTGATCTAGTTGATGATATCCCTGCTTATTGCAGGGGGATTGGACTAGACAACATTTAAGGATCCCTTCTAACCCAAACTGTTCTATGATTCTATAGTATTGTTTTTCTTTCATGGAGGTAAGTACTTCTTTGCAGTTTGGTTACTGACTTTAGCTTAGTATGTCCTAAATATTAATTAAGTGTTATCTCATTGGCAATAGTTGACCTTTATAATATTTGAAAACACTTCTTTTATTTTGTAATCCTTTTTCTGTCTCATTACGAAATGTACTTACATGACTAGAACTGCTTTTCATTGAAGGACACTGGTCATCTGACTTTCTGTACAGTTCATAAACTCCCAGAATGTGAATCATCTACTTTTTTTAGACAGTTACCTTAATTGTGCTCTTTCAGCTCTTTTTTCAGTGAGCATAGAGGAAACCTAGCTGACCAGCATGGGTTGTACTAACCCATGTACTAACATCTTTATTGACGGCTAAGTATCAGTCTAGGCTTTTGCTGGAATTTAATAGTGTGGATCATTCAAGGCAAAGAAAAGATTCCAGTCTGAGACTGGATTTTATCTTTAACAATAGCTTATTTGAGGAAAACAGTTTATTGTCTTAATTCCTTTACTACTCTTTTGCAGTTTATTGATCAAATATTGTTCATTGTAACACATCTACTGAAAATGTAACAATCATCATCGTAATGGAAAATAGGACTGATCCTGACCTTCCTCTATCAGTCTTAGGACTACCTTGAATTTATCTAGAAGCTAGTGCTTGAGCCTAATCCTACAGATCTTTCTCAGACAAACAACCACTTAAACCAATTTGCGGTGTACCTATATAATGTTGCTGCAGGATTAGACTCTTGTGCAGTTTTAACAATGTTCCTAGCTGTGTAGAGGGGTTAACAGTATTAGGACTGTTTATTCAGCTGATGTTTGAGAGTGTAGTAGCTATTCAGGCAAACAGCTTGAGTAAAATAAGCAGAACTACTTGTACAACTGTTTAAAACTCACTCACATGAGTAAGGATTACAGTATAAGACCCATTCTTTCCATAGTCTATTATCAGTAAGAGCTGCAGATGGAAAAATGCAGTGAAATATGGAGATGTACAGAGCATGGGAACAACTGTCAGGAGATGGGAAAATAAAACTTACATTTAAGAGGTTTGACTATTTCATGCAAGCTGTGAGAGACATTTAAAGATGTTCCCTTGTGGCTTTTACTTTAAAGGTAACAGCTGTATAAAATTTCAACTTGCATTTTTTTTATATTCCAAGATTCCATTTCTTATATGAATCACTGCCTGTCTACAGGACTCTGTTTCTCTAAACTCAGCACAACCGTTCAAAGTACAGGGAATTTTAAGCACTTTGGTAATGTTTGTATTTAAAAGCACTTGTAATGGGTTGCAGGTGTATCCAATGTCAGCTTCCATGCAAATTTTGATGGAGAATCTTGAATAAAAATAAGCTATATTGAAACTATTTTTAATCTTCAAATGAAATCTTCTATCCTGTCAAAACATAGGCCCACTGAAAATTAATTTCCAGAACCATATTCTTATTACAATTACTATATTTTTCTGGACACTGTATTCTTAGTGGCCCCTCATCTCCTTGCACTTGACACTGATCAGTAACATACATACCTTAAGGAGCCTGTATTATTGTTAATTCATAATAAAATGCAATAGAACACATCAGTGGTTTTAGGTTATCCCTGCTATGAGCTAACATATTTATTTTTATAGGGATTTGAGGGAGAACTACTGCCGAAATCCAGATGGATCTGAATCACCCTGGTGTTTTACTACTGACCCAAACATCCGGATTGGTTATTGCTCCCAGATTCCTAAATGTGATGTATCAAATGAACAAGGTAACAGAGGGAAAGGTGATAACATGATTTTAAGTGAATACTGTACTGTTCCAAGCAGCAGACAGGCAGGCTTGAAAACTAGAGAAGTTGGTCTCAGTACATAAGCATTACACCTGTGTAGTTCCGCTTTGGCTTTATTTGCATACTTGGGATTCATTGTGGTGTAAATAAGATTCATTTCTTAGTTCATGTTTCAATTCCAGGAGGGAAAGCTGCAGCAAAGACTTGCTATTGAATCTGGTTTTTAGACAAAGTGAATATGCATGCCATTATATTAGCTGGATATCTGCACCATTGTCTTATCTTTCTTAATTTGAAAGGTCTTTTTCCAGAGCTGAGATGATTTCCTTGGTTCACAGTCTCTTATAATTGCATAAAAGGCCACCAAATGGGATTTTTATTTTTTTTTTCTGTATACTCCCTTGTATGCAAGAAGCTGAGCTGAAAAAAACATGTGAGACATCCTATATAGCCTCTTAGCTTTACTCTGCCTCTGCTACCTGTAATGTCCACTCTGTATCTTCAGGCAAATGTCATTTTTCTCTTGAGGCCTTGGTATTAGTCTAAGGAGTATTATTGCATCCTGAGAAGACATGTCAATTGTAGCATAGACTGAGGCTAAGACCTCAGGCCTCTGACTCTACATCAGGGTGCATTAAGACCTCTATCTTTAAATTTTAGCCATTTTTGCTCTTAAAATTTGAAAGAGTTGCAGTTGCAAGAGTTCTGTCACAGCAAGGATTAAGCTATGACTTTAGTTCTATGTTTTTTGTAAAGTATCAATTATCAAAGAGTAAAAATGAATATGAAATCAAATGCTTTATACAAAAAGTCTTTATAAGAGTGATAATTTTAAACAATCCTCTTGAAAAGTCTCAAAAAGGCTTGTGATAAAAGCTTATGAATTAAACATGAGAGAACAGTAAAGTTTTTGAATTACATTAGAATTGCAGTCATGTTGATTTTTTATTTTGCCAAAGTAGTACATTAATCCAGAATTATATACTGTTGCCATTATCCAGAATCTACACAAGGGTAAGTTGTTTCAAATACGTTAGGAGTGCCTGTTTTTTGAGAAGGAAGGATTAAGGGGGCATTTTTGCTTTGTTTTGTGTAAAACAGCTCCTGACAAGTTTTAGAATATTCTCTGTGACTCTTGTAAACCAACCATAAACTAAATATTTATGAAATAAATTTTCCCAGTTTACCTAAGTAAGACAAAATTCAAAATGCTATTGTGTTAAGAATGAAAGCCTCAAGCAGGAGATTATGTATTTAAATTTGAAAACTTTCTCCCATTTTCTTTCTGACTTGATTTATACAGTTGTCTGGTTTATATTGTATAGTGTTTGCTAAATATAACACTTGTCTTTCATTATCTGGATTACTGATTGTAAAGAAGAGTTTTCTTTTCAATGTTGCATAATCACCCTCCACTTCTCTTTGTCTCAACATTCTTTATTCAGATTGTTATCGTGGTAATGGCAAGAGTTACATGGGGAATCTATCCAAGACAAGATTTGGACTAACTTGCTCCACATGGGACAAGAATATTGAAGACCTACGTAGGTGCGTACATACAAAACAGAAAGAGATGGTTCAGTGAGTCCTGAATAAATACTGCCTCCAGATGGCATCTTTTTTTCTTCTGGAGTCATTCTAAAATAGCCCCTTATGCCCTGGAGCTTTAAGTAGCTTTTTTGCCTTCTTCTTTTTTTTTTTCTTTTTCTTTTTTTCCCCTCAGTGTTTAAATACATTACACAACATGTCTTTGTTCAGGCTAACCACTAATTGCAGACTTTGGGATGTTTCTTAGTGTTTAGTTTACTGGCCTGGTTTACCCCATCTTTGTCCTTGAAAGTTTTGTTCTATGAGAGGATAGCAGAAATAAAGTAGGAAATGTTTATCTCATCAATTTAATCTCATAGCTCATGCTACTTCAAGCAGGAGGTTGGACTTGAAATCACCTAAAGTCCCTTACAACCTCAAATTGAATCATGAATCTATGATCTAATGACATTGACTTCAAATGCCATTAAAAACGACTGGCAAAGTCTTTTGTTTATCATTACTTTGGCTTCATAATCATGCAGCGGAAGTGGCAAGTTACTTTAATTTATTTGTTAAGGTAAAGTAAGTACATAAGAAATTTTGAGTTTAAGACTTTCAGTCATGCCAGGATCCTGTGTTGTCTCTGCTGGTTCAGAATAGTAAATTAATAAGTCTCAGGGGTGACAAGAACAATGACTTCCAGGTATGACACAAATACAGAGATTCATCAAAAATGTTGTTATGTATGAGATATTACACATATTAATGGCCCAGATAGAAACAGTTTTCCCTTCATTTTCCTTTTGTTTCTGAATTTGATGCGATTATGTCTATATTACTTTTGGTACTTGTTGAGTTAGTGCTCATGATTGCTCTGTCATAGTGTCCAACATATTAGCCACTGCCCTCTTGGAATTGTTTGTCCCCAATTCTTGCTGCTGACTTGATGGTCGGTCAGGTGAAGGCATGTAAGTCAGTAAGTCAGCAAGTCAGCCTTTGAGGAAGCTGTGTTGTAAAAGGCAGACTTCAATGTCTGGAATCACCAGCTGGACT